AACTCATTAACTTTTTGAGGAACTGCCCACTTGTTATTTTTCATTTCTTTCCTGAGAAATTTTTCCCCTCTTTGAAAATTCAAGGCAGTGATTCTGAGGTTAGGATGGTGAGTGTTTTTTTCAACTTCAAATGTCCTTCCAGAGATGTAATGTTGAGAATAATTAAAAAGCTTGGCATGGTGCTCCTCTCTTGACCTGAAAATGAAATACCAAGATATCTGACTTAGCAGAATAGTTCTTTTCATTTGTTGTTAGTGGGTTTTAATGCTTTTAGTTTCCTGTTTGATTCTATGAAGAGACTGTTGGCAACATTAGTTGTTTTAGGAAGTAAGAATGCCTCCTAGTTGAAATGTTACTTATCCCTATCTGATGGTTTAGCAAGGAGAACTGGGAATCCATCCAATAAAGATTTTTTCATTTTTAAAAAAATTACAGAGAAAATGATTCTATATGTAACATTAGTCTTGTCCCTTTAAGTGGAAGAAAATATTTAAAGAATTTTGTTTTATTCTAATTATTTTGAAGATGAGGTGGCAAATCCAGACAAAGCCATGAGGATAAAATTTGGATGTTATTTTAATACTTATAGTAATTGTTCCTACGTGATTGGAATAAAAAGTTGAGTTTCTATCTAATTCAAACACCTTTAGTCATAGATGAGGAGAGCTTTAAATCTCTCAAGAAGATGAGGAAACACAAAATTCAATCAGAGATAAGAATATGAATAAGGGTTGAAGAATTTTGTGAGATGTCAGAAAAGTTTAGTAACATTTAACTTAAATCTAAGACTGCAGGCTACAAGAACTGTAAGATCAACTCTGTCTTGAAGTTATGAAGTCTCTACCCTACAAAGTAAGAATTAGAATTCTTCAGAAAAACTCAGGAATGTCCTAGCTGAAATCTCTGATAGTAATAAAACATTGATCAGCTAGAATTATATTACCAAACATGTTTTGGGGTGATGTAACTATTTCAAGAATGTGTAGGCAACTTTTTAAACATAGGGAGATTTAGAACTAAATATAAAAATATTTGAGAAGCAAATTTATGTTATGAATGGTTTTATGCTGAAGAGGCAGTACATATTTTTAACCTTTTTTTTTTGGTAGGGGGAGGAGATAATTAGGTTTACTTATTTTTAGAGGAGGTACTGGGGATTGAACCCAGGATCTCATGCATGCTAAGCATGAACTCTACCATTTGAATTATACCCTCCCCCAGTTTTTAAAGTATACTTGTTACTTAGCCCATTAGAGTAACATGTCAGTCTTAATTCCATTTTAAAATTTATAATTAATCATTTTTTCTTGTAGTTGTTAAATAGAAATATTACCAAATTTGTATGCATGGTATGAATATTTATGAAAACTGAAGACTCACCATATTTCTGTTTAATTTATTAGATTTAGAAAGATTATTTTAAGTTCTAGGAAACTTTTGTGAGAAAAGTGAAATGTCTAAAGTAAATAGAATATCTCAGTGTGTTTTCCTAAGTTTGTAAATGCAACCAAATATAATTCTGAACTTTTAAAAATAATTTTTGGTTGGATGCCAGACATTGTGAATGTAATGTTAAGTGCTTGACTTTTTTTTCCTTGCAAAGTATTGGACTTTGTTCTTGTAGGCAAGACTTTCCTAAACTCTTTCTGTAGGAAAACACAACAAGGGGAGACAATGAATAATTGTGATCAAGTAAGACAGTCTATCACAGAGAGGTATAAAAAAGTCCTGGCAGTCTGTTATCTGAGTATGTCCCAAATAGCACAGGATGTTAATAATAATGGTGATGATGATTATGATGATAGTAAGTGTTGAATAAATGTTAATTTTGTGCCTGAGCATTATTCTAATTAACTTGTGTTAATTCTCTTAAAACTTACAGTAACTCCATAAAATAGGTACTGTAATTTTTAACATTTTATAGATAAGGAAATTGAAATTTATAGAAGTTAACTTTCTTGTCCATGGTAAATTTTAACACCTACATGTGAAACTAGGTAGTCTGATTGAATATGGTTAATACAGTGTACTGTATTCTATCTTAGCATATTAAATGTTCTGAGCAATTCTGCAGTGAAGAACTGTGTCTAACTTTATCAAACCTAGCGTGTCAATTTTATTTTGGAGCTTGGAATGCTATTTAGGATTGGGAGGCTATCTGTTAATCAATCGACTGACCAATATTCTATGGAATGCTTGTACTATAAGATCCTTATGAGTAAAAACAATATCCTATTTGACTTTGTTTTTCAGGTTTTTTTTTAAAATTGAAGTATAATTGATTTACAGTATTGTGTTAGTTTCAGGTATACAGCAAAGTGATTTGGTTATATATATTTATTTTCAGATTATTTTCCATTATAGGTTATTACAAGGTACTGAATATAGTTCCCTGTGCTATATAATAAATCCTTGTTCCTTATCTATTTTATGTGTAGTGGTTTGTATCTGTTAATCCCGTAATGCTGATTTATCCCTCCCTCTCTCCCTTTTGGTAACCATATGTTTGTTTTCTATGCTTGTGCATCTGTTTCTGTTTTGTATATAGATTCATTTGTATTAATTTTTAGATTCCACATGTAAGTGATGTCATAATATTTGTCTTTCTCTGAGTTACTTAACTAAGTATAGTATTCTGTAGGTCCATCTATGTTGCTCCAAATGGCAATATTTCATTCTTTTTATGGCTGAGTAGTATTCCATTGTGTATATGTGTGTGTGTGTGTGTGTGTGTGTGTGTGTATCACATCTTCTTTAACCAGTCATCTGTTGATGGACATTTAGCTTGTTT